TAGAAACTACCAAGATCTTTATAAATACATGGTGCAATATGTATGTCTTATTTTGCAATTTTGTGACTGTGTGCTATGACAATAGATGTTTTAATCACAGCTTACTTGCAAAGTATCCTTCAGTAGTCTAACACCTAAAATATGTAAGGCTAACAATCCTGTCCCTTTAAATAGGACTTCCTCATGCTATAAAAACACTTTTAACTTAAGTAAGGAATTCAATGATGACCAAGGTTTTTTAGTCATTCCCTGTGCTGACTGGGAGAAGGAATAAATAATGGCAGAGGTCTCAAGGAGACTAATTCCCAGCTTTCTAGGAAGGCAGATGAAACATGCAGCCAAGCACTAGATATTCTGGAGGATCTGGGATCTGAATGCAGAAACTGCTAGGACTCCTCTGCAGAAATTGCAGTTCTGTAAGGAATATGACTGCTGAACTAATTATGCATATGCACAAGTCTCCATTGTTCAGGCTTTATTATGGAATTTCAGAGCCTCTGCCCTCTTCACCAGTAAATACCTCAGAAAACATGATCTCTTTTTCCTTCCTCTTAGTAACACGTACCAGGCTAATTCTTCATGTTGCAGTTCAGTGATTCTGACTAATATCTGGAAAACACAAACTATGCAGATTCCAGAATAACTAAAAGTGAAGGAGGAGAATTTCAAAGTGCTCCACAAAGGAGCAGAGGAAAATCTGAAGTGCTCTGTGTTCCTGCACTATGAGGCTAATAAAATGTTAGTAAGAAAAATAGTCATCTCTTGGTTTAAAACAAAACATTCAGCTACTCCACAACTTTCAACACAACTTTGGTGTGGGGCAAGGAGCCATCAATATAAGGCACTGTGTTCTGATTTGCTTGATTGGGGGTCCTTCAAATTTCAGGGACAGCAAATGAGAACTAAAGAGGTAGAAACTGAAAATGAGGGACATAATTGAAAATGCAGGAGAGGAAAGACCAAATTAGTCTCTGCTGGTACTCTTGGGGACAGGCCAGGGATAGTTAGTCCAGGCGAGGTTAATGATGGAGAAAAGACAGAGATATCTGACCACATTACCAGTCAGCACCTCCTTCTCTTCCTAGCCCATTCCAGCTGGCTCACTTTCCCTGGCAGATGTGAAATACTTCTCGTTCACTTTGCAGTGGAGACCTGAAGTCTAATGCAAAGACTCAGCAGAGCCCTCTGCTTGAAGAACAGGCACTGAAGCAGCAACAGGGTCACGTTAACCATGATGAGAGTACAAATGGGCATTTAAAAACCAATCCTGGTCTAGCTAGATGGGACATATCTTGCTAATGTGAATGCTACAAGAGATAGTATAATCTTTGATTACCCCTGGGGCCATAACAAACTTGGAAGGAAGCATAAGAATTGCTGATTATTTTCTGTGATGATAGAATCTCAGAAGTTGCTGATATCGCTTTTGTGCAGACTGACAGGTCCCTGGCTGTACTGTTTTGACTGAATTTGAATCATGCAGTGCTGCTCTCATGTCAGGACAAGGTAGAATGTATAGCTTTCAGATTTTTTTTTTTCTGAGGTCTATATATCCCTTAAAGGGAGATGCAGGCAACAATCATTTAGTTTGCTTTGTGAGATAATTTCTTGCTTTCAATCACTTTAGCACATGTACAGTGATAATCGTCTGTGTTGTAACCACAACACATTTTTCCTGATTCGGTCCACAAGATGAATGACATAAGAAAATGAATCAGGAAGAAGAAGAATACAAAGGACGAAGCCATGTGGTGAAAGCCAGGGTGCATAAAATTCAAGATTACACTGTAACAGATGCACAGTAGAGGGACCTAATTAAAACTGCTCAGTAACGTTAGCTTTGATTTTCACTAACTGTATGTATTTGACTTTGAAGAGTCACAGATCTTAAAATGTAATCAACAAACAAGAAGTTACATGGTAAGGAACCACTGAAGTCATTTTTGCATGCTAAATAAGTGTATTTATCAATACCCTTTTGCACTACATGCTTTCCAAATTGGAGGTACAAGTCTGGGAACTTCCTACGAAGTTGGATCAACTTCTGCAACAAACAAAACTATTTTAAGTAATACTAGTTCAAAATTTGATTCAAATTCTGCATTTTAGGCAGAGAGGTATGAGTAAAGCTTACAAAACTTGGTGCCAGAACTAGCATTCTGTCCCCTTTGTATCTGCTGCTGCAATGCTTCCGAGAGTGTTGTTTTGTGCAGCAACTCATGTTCAGGCAGTGACAGTCTGGTCACACCTGTTCTGCTCTGATAAAAACAATTTGCGGGTGCTCTGAGAAGGCCAGAAAGAACAGAGCACCTGTTCTGCAAAACCTCACTGCTTGGAGTTCTTTGTTCTGCACTCAGAAGCTGAACCATTCAAACAAAAAGGCCTCCTTACTAAGGAATAATGGAATGTATCCAAAAGAATCAGTACAAACATTCCCTCCCTAATTTGTCCTATATAATAAGCAAGTCCCAAAGAACAAACAAAAATTTACTTGGAATACAAATAGATAATACTACTGTTTTCATGAGAAACAAAGTAGAGGCATCTTAAAATAAATCTCACAATTGCATCAAGAAAGTAAGTTACACCTGGGGTAGTCTTTCCTTTCAAAAAGAATAAGTCTTCTCAGCTTTTGTCTGAAAGCATGCCATGCAGAGAGAATCAAGCAATCAGAATAAGTTTACAAACAAAATGGGGACACAAACGTTTCATCCATATTGCCACAGGTTTTCAGAATTGAAAACTGTTAATGATATAAAAAAGGGCTTACCTGAGATTTATGTTTCCATCTAGAAGAGAACTGATTTTGGAAACATGGTAGGGGTGCTCCTTTAAATAAGCTTCTAGTTCATATAATTTACCTCAGTTTTCCTACTGTTAATTATCATGCAAAACTCTTAAGATTTCATCAGAAACCACCTTCTGATAGAGCTTAAATAAACATCTCTGATGCAAAGAAGACATTGAGACATTTCTTTTTCTCATCTTCAATGAATACACACAAAGATGAACATTTACACGTGCTAGCATTCTTCTCAGCCCTACCGAAGGGGAAGAGACTTGGCATTGTGCACCATAGGTGTCACCATCTACAGTCCCTGACAAGGTCTCTCATGAAAGATTAATCTGTAGGGCAACTAATGGTTTTTGGGGGCAGGCAGAAGGGCAGAGGTGTTATTCTAATGCTCTGCCTTTGCACAGGAAGAAATAAGAAGGCACTTCTGAAGATATACAAATGAGGGGTCACGTAGGTTTTGATTCTGTTTGAATTTAATTTGGAAAAGTGATTTTGACAATTTTTACATTATCTCCACACACCTATTTGTATTCACAGTGAAAAAAAAAGCATGTGCATTGAAACCTATTTCCAAAGGTTGTGCTAAGTTAAAAAGAAAAGATGTGTGTGACAGCTGGTGTTCACTGTGCCTGTCAGAAGATAACCATTAATAATTTAGTTTTTTCCAATGAGCTTTAAAGTCCATCATAAAAGACTATTAAGGAAAATCAATACCTACAAGATAAATGGCAAAGTCCATGAATTAGAAATAGCATAGTACTTAAATACTGTTCCTCCAAAAGGACAATTTAAGAATGTGGTGTCTGGGGTGCATAACTGTGTGATTTTGAATAATTGCCAAGAATTTCAAGGGAGGAAGTAGAAAATATTAGCCACTGGCCACAGGGTTCTCTTTTAAAACCCAGAGAAGTTTGGAGAAAAGTGATAGGTGTGAAAGATAAAGACTCTAGAAAACAGGCAAGTGGAATGTAATCTAGATAAATGTAAGGCAGTGTTTATAAACAAAAACAGCCTAAATATCAAAATTAATCTGCCTCTAGAGGCTACTGCAAGTCAGAAATTCAATAATACCACCAAAACCAAATAATGGTTGACTATAACTACAGCATCCTCAAAGTAAAGGTTCTGTGAGACATTACATACAGTTCTGTGAAAAAGCTCAGCTATAATACCAGTGCAACTAGAAAACAGGTAAATCAATAACCAAATTCTCAAATGTATAGATGAGGGATAATGAACGTGAATTGCATCATGCCCAGGAGATGAGACACTCCTATTTTAGAATTCTAGAATTGTATTGAGTTTTGGCTCCTGGTCTTTTAACATACTTGGATTTGTATCTTTCCTCTCTTTGGACGTGTGCATGTGCCTGTACCACCCACATCAGTACGCATGTACAACATCATGTTAGGCTGCTGACATTTGGCAGAAGCTGGCTGATACATTACCTCACAAGTATTGCACAGCACCATGAGCTGTAGCACAAGACTTACTTGCAAGTGAGGAAGAAAAATAAATCCTCTTGCTGTACTCACTTGAAGCAAAAGGCCAGTTAGCAAAGGAAGAGATTAGTAGTGGTTCAGCTGACCACAGCCTGTGCGTGGTGGCAATACCCCCCTTCCCCACAACAGTGACAGCCGCAGTGCTCTACGGTTCAGGGGCCAGTCATGGATCAACAAATCACATTCACTGACTCAGCAGAAATGACTTACAGCAATTTTTTTCCTGTCGATGTTAACTAACTGGTTGCCAACTCATTCCACACTGACTTATCTCCACACACAGAAACAGGACTGGCAGCATGCAAAATGGTGGCTTTGGTGCATTTGATGTGTTTAAGTCAATGGAGCACCTGAGCCTTACCTGTCACTCTGTTTTTTCCCTTTAACATTAGTTTTTTTTTTGTTTTTTTTTTAATTTATTTTACATTTCATGGAAAAGCATACACTCTGGCAAAAGCTCAAAATTATTCCATCACTCATTAAAACTCAACCATGGGGCTTTTTCAGTGTGCAAACAACAATCCCACAGGCCAGGTCTGTGGCCCATGTACAGCAAAAAGGTTGTGAACAGCATGAGATCGTCACACAAGGGAGCAGTAACCAGCACAGCACAGAGTTCTGTATGTCAACTTCAATACTGGATGTTAGAACTGACTTGGAAAGCATTACACTGAAACTAAATGCGGAATACCTTTACTTACTGTGTTAAAATTTGGGAAGAATCCAACAGCAGAGCTGCTGTCCACAGGGAAGGACATAAAGGGTTTGATATCCAGGGAAGGCTGCATCATCAAGGTAGGTGCACGCACAAGGGTGGGAAGTGCAGTAGTGCCTGCCAAGAGCAAACAAAACCAGCAATTCATAGTATTCTCCTTTCCACATTACACACAGCATAGCTATCTCTTGCTGACACAACCTCCACGAATAAATAGCGCATGGAGGTAATAAAGTAGCTCTGCAGGAGTTAGTATCATTAAAAGAAACCTATTTCCACATTCTACAGATGAGGCAGAGTGCTCTCCTATGGCCATGGATGCTCGGACGCTGAAGAGGAGACATATGGTGTATAAATCACCCTGGCAGGTAGAATAAATCCCTCCTAAAGCTGAACAATTCTTCCGTGCCAAAAAGACCAGGATGGGAGCTCATGGAAGTCAGATGCTTTTGCAATTCCTGGTTGCCTATTAGATCAGCTAGTGCAGGCAGTACATGAGAGCTGAAATCCAGAGGTCTGTTTCCAAATAGCAAGTTTGTTTTTCCTTCTGATGGCTTCTGTAGCTATCAGGTACTGCACAAACATGATTTCACTTAAGATTTAAAATAATGCCTTTTGTATTAGGTAGCAATACAAATATTAGAAAACAAACAAATAATCAGCAGTCAACACACACAAAATCAATTATTTACATGCAATGAAAAACGAAAAACAACATTTTTCTAATTGGAGCATAGCACTTTCCCTCCAAATATGGGCTTTGCAGGAATGTACTTGCTGGAGTTGTTACACTTGAGCATCACCCCCTCAACAAGGCCCCAAAGGAACACAAAGGCACAGATGTCCAAACATTCGTTTACAACTAGCTATCTGCTCTATCCACACAATGGTGTGCCTAGCACACTGCTTCCAACTCTGCCTATGGAGTGTTTTATTTTCCCTGAAATCATGCAAAATAGATCTCAAACAATATCTTCCTCCTGAAATAGAAAATGAGAAAAAAAAATTCAGATTCTTCTTCCTGGGTCAAATAAATAATTCAACACAGACTGGAGCAGAGACTGGAACACAAGTCTCCCTGGTCTTTACAGGAGGTTGAGTCATTCTCTGCCTTTCCCCCAGGCCCCCCCCTGACAGAATTTCTCCATCATTACCTCCCTCTCCTGCTCACAGTGGCCAGCACATCAGCCAGGAGCATAACAGTCCTCTGGGGAGCTTCTTTGGTCTCAAGCAGAGCCGACACAGTAACTAAGCTTTTTCTCACAGAAGTTGCCTGAGCTTTTTAAACACAGTCAGGAGGGGGAGGGAGGAGGAAAAGCAAACCAAACAGTTTTCCTTCTCTTCTCCCACAAAATCAAATTGTTTGTATCTGTTTGCAAGATGCCAGGCAATCCGTGTGGGCTGCTGAAGAGCCAGTCTTCCATTAACATCTCCCTTTCTCTCTGTTAAGGATATGAAAAATTCGAGGCAGAGAAATTTTCATCTTTCTTCATCTCATCATCCTGCCTCCATGGACATGATTTCAAATCCATTCTCTGGTATCTGAGAGAGAAGCAGAGCACAGAAGCCAGATGGGTCTGCATGAATTTACTGGATAGCCAGACACTTAGAACTAGCCCTGAGCTCAAATTCTGTAGGTGCTGGAAACACAGACAATTTGATCACAGCTGTAGCATAATAAATGCAATATTCTAGTCTAGCAGATGAGCAACAGGTTATAATCTATTTTCTGTTTCTTCTACAAAGGGTGAGGAAAGCAGAAGGGTGGGTCATTGACAACTGTGGAGAGAGAACAGCACACGCTCCCAGCTGAGCTGGGCAAGAAAGGAAAAATACGCTCGAGATACACTATTGGAAAATATTTTCTCTCTTCTGTTATCTCAATACTTTCATAAACGTAAGCTTTAAAAGTCCTTAGGTGAGTTAAACTCTGTGTTCTGACCCTGCATAAGCCCCTGCAACTTGATGACTCGGGCTCAGTTAATTAAGTCAAAGCTTATTCAAGTAGAGTCACAAATGTCAAAAAGCTTAAGGCTGCCTAAGATGCCCATAGTTCCTACTTCATATCTATAATGAAAAAAATGAAAATAGAAATGCATCAACAGGAAAGCAGTGTCTCCGAGGATTTAGTCATAGAAAATATCTTCAACTTCAAAAATGATGTTTATTTCTACTAGCTTGTTCTGAAACAGTAACTTTACATAATTTAGGTTTGAGCTGTACTCAAACAGCAGCTATACTGTATTCAATTATCTAAAGTCCACAGAGTGCAGTCAAACTTCTACAAATTTCTTTTTAAAGTTCAGAAGCAATTAAGATCCACAGAGTTAATGAAAGACCTGTCCTCTCTTTGCATATGAAGCTGTGGTTATTTTAACTATATTTTACAAAAAAAAAAAAACAACAAACAAAACGAACAAACAACAAACAGCAACAACATAGTTAACTTGTCACTGAAGTTTAAAATTAGAGTTAAGCTGAGTTTCTGATGCTGTCTTTAACTGAGGTATAGAAAAATGTTGCCATAAAAATTTTTAAAATTAGAAAACAGTCAGCATCCAATAAGATAGCAATCCTCTTTGTATTCCTCATCTGGGCAGAGACCACTACAGACACGTCTGAAGACTGGAAGATAGCCAACGTCACCCCGGTCTTCAAAAAAGGCAAGAAGGAAGACCCAGGCAATTATAGGCCAGTCAGCCTCACCTCTGTCCCTGGAAAGGTGATGGAACAGCTTGTACTGGATATCATCTCCAGACAACTGGAAGAAGAGGAGGTTATCAGGAGTAGTCAGCACGGGTTCACAAGGGGGAAGTCGTGCTTGACCAACCTGTTAGCCTTCTATGATGTTGTCTCTGGCTGGGTGGATAGGGGGAGAGCAGTTGATGTAGTCTACCTTGATTTCAGCAAGGCATTTGATACTGTCCCCCACAATATCCTTATAACAAAGTTGAGGAAGTGTGGGATAGACGAGTGGACAGTGAGGTGGGTTAAGAACTGGCTGACTGGCAGAGCACAGAGGGTCGTTGTTGGTGGTGCAGAGTCCGGTTGGAGGCCTGTAAGCAGCGGTGTTCCTCAGGGGTCTGTGCTGGGTCCAGTCTTGTTCAACATCTTCATCAATGACCTTGATGAGGGGATAATGGCCACCCTCAGTAAGTTTGCTGATGATACGAAGTTGGGAGGATTGGCTGACATGCCTGAAGGCTGTGCTGCCATTCAGCAAGATCTGGACAGGCTGGAGAGCTGGGCAGAAAAAAACCAGATGAGGTTTAACAAAAGCAAGTGTAGAGTCTTGCATCTGGGGAGGAATAATTCCATGCACCAGTACAGGTTGGGGGATGACCTGCTAGAGGGGAGCCCTGCGAAAAGGGACCTGGGTGTCCTGGTGGATGACAGGTTGGCCATGAGCCAGCAGTGTGCCCTTGTGGCCAAAAAGGCCAATGGCTTACTGGGGTGCATTAAAAAGAGCGTGTCCAGCAGGTCGAGGGAGGTGATCCTCCCCCTCTACTCTGCCCTGGTAAGACCTCATCTGGAGTACTGTGTCCAGTTCTGGGCACCCCAGTACAAAAAAGACAAGGATCTCTTGGAAAGAGTCCAGCGGAGGGCCACAAAGATGGTGAAGGGCCTGGAGCATCTCTGCTATGAGGAAAGGCTGAGTGAACTGGGTCTGTTCAGCCTTGAGAAAAGGAGACTGAGAGGGGACCTGATCCAGGTCTATAAATATCTAAGGTGTGGGGGGCAGAATGGCGAGGCCAGACTGTTTTCAGTGGTGAGTGGAGACAGGACAAGGGGAAATGGCTGGAAACTGCAGCATAGGAAGTTCCACACAAATGTGCGCAAGAACTTCTTTACAGTGAGGTGACGGAGCACTGGAACAGGCTGCCCAGGGAGGTGGTGGAGTCTCCTTCTCTGGAGATGTTCAAGGCCTGCCTGGATGCCTACCTGTGCGACCTGCTATAGGGAACCTGCTTTGGCAGGGGGGTTGGACTCGATGATCTCTGGAGGTCCCTTCCAACCCCTACAATTCTGTGATTCTGTGAAATCTGCCCTCAGCTTTGCAGATCATGGTGCTTCTGCTGCCAGAACAATATAAGTTCAAACTAGGATACATTCAGAGTCCATATGGAATAGAAAATTACACACCTACTGGACTGATTAGTGGAGGCACTGATAACAAGAAATTTGCTCACTTCCGTTTTGCAGTTTGCTACTGCTACTACTGCCAAACAAATACCAGTGGTCCAACTGGACTGAAGTTGTATTTTCAGAACCACATTTGGAAGCCTCTGGAAGAATGACTAGGTAAAGACGACTCAAACTACAGGAGGGAGCACTTCATGGCAATCATCCTATTAAACAGGACAGAACCCACGTTCCACTGGTATTACATCCAAATGCCAAATAGATTCTTACCATCACTCCACCAGATCTGTATGCAGACCTGAGCTAAGCTGGAATGCTGGCACAAGAAAGATGGAGCTGACAAGCTTCATTATAATCATAAATTTAACAGATGTTTACCATTTCATTAGCATTTTAATGATAAAGACAATTTACCATGTCAAACACAGGTTGTTTTAAACACTTGTGAATCTTTGGGATAAATAACTGATATTTCTTGTAAATTCATTTATTCAAGTTTGAAATTTATAAACATTATTTTATCTCTTTTTTAAAAAATAAATAAATAAATAAAAGAAACTACCTTCAACTCTGAGTGCCACTAAAGGAGTTACCTCTGCACAGGGCATGCAAGCAGCAGACTGCCAAATCCTCAATTGTTCTTTTTTAGTGTTGCATAAGAGGGGGAAAAGCAGGCTTTCATGTGAGCAGATGACTCAAAATGTCTCATTTTGTCCAGGAGGACAGTAGTGTCAGAGGCACACATCATCATGGCTTGTAGTCATTGCTCATCCTTTCCAAGCAGGTGAGGTGTTGATTTCAGCAAAACACAAGAGCACAACTGCTCAAACTTGAAAGCATATTCTTGAAAAGCATTCACTACAGGCCACTACAGAGAAATCCAAAGCCATAATCAATTCCCTCTTCTCTTTTATCACCTCGAGACGTTTCTACATTCCTTTAGTCCTTGGATCCAAGTAGTCCAAACTCAAGAC